GATAATGAATAAAACAAATAAAACAAATAATTTGAATAAAGCGAATTAAATTTTTAATTCGAATAAACTTTTAAATTCGAATAAAACTTTTTAATTCGAATAAAGTTTTTAATTCGAATAAAACTTTTTAATTCGAATAAATTTTTTTAATTCGAATAAACTTTTAAATTCGAATGAATTTTTTTAATTCGAATAAATTTTTTTAATTCGAATTAATATTAATATTAATATTAAAGGTCAACTGTACGACAAGATTTTCAAAAAGTTTTATATTAAAAAAAAAAAATTTATTCCCGAAATTAGAAATTTTCTTCACGCCTTTATTAATAATTGTTAATAGTGCGGGTTTTTTTTTGTTTGAAATTAACTGATTAATTGTATATACACTAAAAATATCGATTGCATTCATCTTTTATCATTGATACAATGTAACTTCACTGTGACACGTGATCTTCAAGGAAATTTAATTTTTTTTCCAACATTCAATCTTTTAATATAGAAAAAATATAAAGTTTGCGATTTTTTTTGTGAATTATTCCCTAGGTTTTATTTTTATTACAATTTGTAAGAATTTATATTAATAAATTATGATTAATTAAAGAATTTTTTAGTATATACATTTCATAGTGGAAGAGGTATTAGTATCACAAGTGAAGATGGTAAATAACATAATTACTAGAATATTTTTAATACTGTTATTAATTTATAGATTGTAGCACTTCTACAACATTACAAAGAAGATGTATCATTGAAGTGGAAGATGATAATGCTAATATTGAAGAAACTACAAAGTCTCGATCAAAACAATCTAATGGCCGACCTTTAAGCTGGTGTTTGGGTTTTTTTTGACTATGATAAAGAAGAATCCAAAAATGGTCATCGTTAGGCTACTTGTTTTAAATGTAATATGCATTGGAATCGGTGTATACCTATTGAACTTTCGATATCACTTTAGTCTTTCGACATGCCTAAATGTTGAATGACGAAACGTTTCGACTAACAACTCTACTTATGTCTCAACAAAAACATAAAAGTGATGAGGTTATCGTGTTTGAACGAGGAAGACTTCAATTTCCATCCTACAAATTCATTTCTAATTATAAAGTTGGTACAATTATGTTGAAAACAGACTCGGGTAAAAAGTACGGACAATTTGCAAACTAATTAAGGTTTTGAGAAACCTTTTCTCACCTTGTCAATTATTTACTACTAAATCTATAATTACTTCGAGAGAAATACGATTACTCTGAGGAAATCCTTAAATCTTTTCAGAAAGTTCATTTTTTTTGTTTAATTCTTCTCGGATGTTGCTTTTAATATAAGTCAAGTTATTTTTATGGGACATAAAATTTGGTCAAAGTTATTTTTCGCTAAAGTGCGAGTTAATCCAAAGTAAAAAACCTCGACTAAATTGAGAAATACTTACCAAATGAAAAATATTTGGTTGAAATCATAATTCGGAAAGGTACACACACTAGTAAACAATTCTCTTAAATGTTCAAGTTTTTCGAATTTGATAGAAAGTAAGTTTTTACATTCACCAAAAATTTTTACATTCATCAAGGGTTTTTTCACAATGTATATTTTGGGTGCTCGATTCTATGTTAGAATATGAACTAACCATGAAGAATAGATGGAATATCCAATAATCAATACTGAAATTTCTTCCACAGTTTATCTATTTTGCCGTTGTCATTGATAATTCATCAACAGCCACAAAAGAAAATTTGACAAGAAAGGTGGACCTCGTGATAACTTTGGTTAGAAATGCTTTAAGGATGGTGACGAAGCAAAAGCATCACAAATCCAAAATGTCTTCGAATAGCACCTGTGAAAAAAAATTTTTTTTTGAATATTGACCAAAGTTGTAAAATTATTACGTCAAATTCGTCAAAAGTGACGCAAGTAAAAACCTTGACGTAAATAAAAACGTAAAATTGCTCTAAATGCCAAAAAAAAACATATAATTATATATTCCAAGGTCTTCTCTCGACTTGGCACCAAAACCAATATCTACAATGCAGGTTATTGATAAACTCTTATGATGTGTGGGTAAAAACCCACAAATATGTTTTTATCAATATTGTGTATACGTCAACGACTAAAGTCAAATGTTTCATTAGTTTGCAATCAGCAAATAAGGGCAAACGACTAAAATGAATCGATCACATGAGAACTTTATAGAAGCACTTGAGCTTTGTAAAGGGGCTATCTTTATTTATTTAGTACCATAAGTGTGCTTACAGGTGCAAGAAAGAGGCAGTAATCGAGAACCAAAATAAATTCGTAATCTGATTAATTGACAAAATTAGCCCAAAAGTTGAGCAATAATTAGCCATACTTGTTAAATAATCGGTATTAATCGAAATGATGCCTCGCAATATTAATATCACCATTTAACAAGAATCAAAAGACGTAAAAAGTTTATTATAAGAAATAAAATAAAGATAAATAAAGTATAACGAATAAATAATTTATAGTGCAAGTCATTCATCAATCCTTTCTATTACTATTATTAATTAATTAAAAATTTTTAGCAATGGATAGTAATATTCAATTAATAAATAATGAAATTTTTATTCACATTCGTTAAAATCAACATTTAAGAGAAGGGTGTTGAAATCAAGATTATTTAATGAGCTATCATTACTTGTATAACTTTTTAAGCTTTTAGATTTAGATATGAATCCGGATGTGATTTATGTGCTTGTTGTGAATCACCACCACCACTGCTGCTGCTACCATCATCATTAAAATCAATTTCATGATTTTTGATTTTAGAAAATTTGAGATTTGTTAAACTTTTATTTTCAGGAATTTCATTATTTTTATTTTTAAAAAATTCATTACGTTTGTTTCCAGCAAAATCATAAAGCTCTCTACTTGTTGGTCTTTTTGATGGATCTACATCCCAACACCACTGCATCATTTGCACATAATCGTCAGGCATTCCATGTATTATTGGTGGTCGTAAGCCTTCACATATATCAAAAATTAAACAATGATTATGAGGTCTATCATCAAATGGTGGATGGCCTGCAAATATTTCCCACATTAACATTCCAGCACTATAAATATATGTTTCTTTTGTGTTCTTTGCATTAGTTTTGCCTCTAAGTAGCTCGGGTGCAAGATATGATACAATTCCATAGATTTTATTTGATGACTTTTCATCAATTGGTCCACATAACCCCAAATCTGTAATATAACAACTACCTCCTTGCAATAATATATTACCACTATGTAAATCACAATGGATTAATTCTTTTTCATGCATAAACATTTAAAGATTGTAATTCTGTCTTTTATGTTAAATTTAAATGATTTTTTTGCAAATAATCCCTTAAATTTCCTTCTCAGGCATAATTTAAAACAATTGCATAATTCCCATTATCTGGAAATTTAGTTATACCATAACATTTAACAATCAATGGTGATTTAATTTTATAATAATTCATTGCCTGAAAATAAATATAAAATCAGTTAGTATTGTATTGTTTATTTCGTTTTAAATGACAACTACCAACCTCATCAAAAAAGGCTTTTCCTGGATTACTTGAATTATTTAAACTTTTTAATACTATTGTTTGGTTTTCAGAATAACCAAATTCTTTTTTATTTTCATCATAATCATTTATTCTTCCACTTGTCCATGTAGCAGTATAAATTGAACTAAATCTACCTTCAGTTAATTTTGTTATTTTTTTGAATTGCTCAAAAGGTATCCATTCTAAAATATAGTTTGGCAGAGATAATTTCATTTGACATTGTTGAATAAAATCATCAATTATGTTATTTCCAGATGTCCAGGTGGTAAAAAGACTCTGTAATTGTAAACTGATACAACCTTCACATAATCTATCAGAGTATCTTGTCAATTTACACTTGTTACATTCTTTTAGTTTTCCCAATTTTTTTTTTGCTTTTCTTAATTCAAATTTATAAATAGATTTTTCCTTACATACAATACTTTTTTTCATTTTTAGAAAGCTCCTTATTTTTTTCAATCAATGAAAAAAAAAAATTCTTTTCTATATAACTTTATCAGAATTGGCCACTGGATTATTTTTCATTTCATTATAAACTTTAGTTACAAATTCTATTCTTTCTGTCGGTAATAATTTAACATGTGACATTATATAAAAATATAATAATAAAGTATAAAATTTGACTTGATGTTTTAATGAACAGAATGGAGGGTTTTTTTTTGAGAATTTCCTTTTTCTTTGCGGAGAATTCGAGCGGTGTGTAAATATTATTTATACATATAATAGTTTATTTTATTGACTAAATTTTTCATTGCATTATTTAAGGAACAACTTTATCATCACCAAACTAGTGATAAAAGAATTTCAGCATTCTTTGTTTTATCACTTTTAAATCTTATTAAAACTTACGCAAACATTTGTACCAAAACTTGGCTTATGTACCATGTAAAATTTGTTCTACACACCAATATCGGTCAACCTATGTGTGTTGTTTCAAACTAGACTCTAAGGATGGCTCAAGCGCATTTTTATTTAATAAAATTCGAAAAAAACAATAAAGTTAGCACAACTTGTATGTATGCAAAAATTGCCCTATATACCAATCTTGATGTGCCCATGTGTGTTTCAAACTTAGGCACCAAAGACATTTTAATTTTATAATAAAAGGAGAAATATTGGTAAGTTTTAATTTATTAAAAAAAAGAATATCATTTTATTTTGAAAGAAGATACACGAAAAAATTTATTTAATTAGTCAAATCCCACTTTCATTCTTCAACAGGTTGCTTAATTTAGAACGACCAACATCCAATGTCCACCACAGTTGGATATTAATGAAATAAAGTAATTTTATTTCATAAATCAAGGTAATAATTTATCAATATAAAAATTAAAATGTCAAGTATGTATATGTATATATATATACCAAACATATAAAATACACAATCTAATCCCCAAAGAGAAACTATCAGTCATAAAACTGGTTTGTCATATACATGACACTAAAATCATACATACTGGTCTAATTACCTGAAGGTAACAGCAGGTCCAAAGTTGCAATCTACTAATTTATCAAACTAAATTGCTAAATAATCCCTCTTTCAGGGTGGATTAGATAATTAAAGCTGCTTCACAGTTTGTAAAATTTTTTTGAATAATAGTGCAACTTATCCTTGTACTTTTCGTTACATTTTTCTTCTTATCTAATGTACCTTACATTTGCCCAGTTACACCATCAACGACCCTCTTTATTTACGTTTGTTTATGACTTGAGTGAATTAACGTTTACATCACATTAATTTCATACAATAATAATGATTAGTTTCTATACAAATTTAATTAATCAAGCAAACTTAACTTATAATTCAAGTTCTTGGTCATCAAACATAACATTTGTAAAATTTCTCGTGATAATTATTCTTTGCATCCTATTTATCATTGTCATTATCATTATTGTTATTGTCAGCATTTGATGTTTGAAAATTATCATCAATAGGAGAAAAAGAATGTGTAGTTGGAAAATGGCCTATTCCAAAATCTTTTATTGGACATTCTAAATTTTATCAGAATGCCTAGAATTTTATAATAGGATTTTGCTCCTCGTCTTCATCACATTGTTTGATGCTAATACCCTTGTTGTGTAATTAATCAAATAAATCTAATCATCTGCATTCATTTATCAGTCAGAAGTGAAATTGGATTGGATGCAAAAAGAATAATTTTATTATTTGTATTTCAAATTCAAGTATGATTTAAGGATATATTTTGCAAATGATTAGTGAATCATCTTTTTTGATTTAAGTATGTTTTGTAAAAAATTAAGTAGAAAATAAGTAGGAAATAAGTATCTAAACTTTTCGTAGGGTGGAGCCATACAATTTTTACCGATGAAATGGCCTTTGACTTGTTTTGTAATAAAATTCACAGATGGCATAAAAATGGGCAAAGACCAATTTGAAGATTGCCAAAAGATCATGGCCTGGGGTGACATTTTGTTAAAAGGCAAAATATCGTTATTCTGCTTTACCAATATTATGGATGGACCTTATTACGTTAACATATTGGAGACTCAGCTTTTGCCTGCTGCACAGAGATTGTATGATAGAAACTGGCATTTACAACAGGATAATGATCTAAAGCACACATCGCGTGTTGCAAAAACTTTTATTGACGAAAA